CACATCCCATTCTTTATCAGAATGGTACTGTTGACTGCATTTACCCCGTGCCTGTTCTTCCAACAAATGCTGGGTGGTAGAGTACAGCTAATGCATCTCCTCCATTTGTAGGTCTTCAGATCAAGAGAAATCACAAGGTCAAACCAAGACCTGAACCTGAAGAACTTACCTGCCCCGTACCTGATTTAGATACCGGATTTAGATTCTGGACCTTGAACCTGAGCCCAGTGCCATAATAGGATAAGACTTGGGTGGGGGATTTGCAAGGGGGGGGGGGAGTGTATTTTGCAGGTGGGAAGAATGAATATAAATACTTTTTGGTCTGAGAGTAAACTGTGGTGGTTTTTAAAAATGGCCACAGGCTTTCTGACAAAACTCACACTGAGAGGTGGATTCCATCATTCCCTTTGAATCTAGGATGGTTCATGACTGCTTTGACCAACAGAATATGGTGGGAGTGATGCTGGGTGGCTCCCAAGATTGAGTCATAAGAGTCTGTGTGGCTTCTTGGGACACTTGCTCTCTTGCAGGACACTCTCCAGAACCTGGTCACCATCCTGGGAGGAGCCCACACCACATGAAGAGACCATGATTAGATTCTCAGGTTGAAAGTCCAGGCTGAGCCCCATCTTTGAGTTTTCCCACCCAGGTGCCAGTCATGCCTGTGATAAAGCCTCCAGATAATTCCAACCCTCAACCATGAAGTCACCTCGAACTATGACCGTCTACCTGGCTGAGACCTCAGTCTGCTCACAGTGGAGCAGAGATGAGCTGCCAGGCGCCAGCTTAATTCCTGGCTCATGGAATCCATGAACACAATAAAATGGTAGTTGTTTTACATCACTGAATTTGGGGTGGTTTTCTTATAGCAACAGAACGCCCTCCTGCAGGGAGATGTAGCCTCTATATACGGAAATAGGAGGAATTGTTGGGAGCCGTCTTACTGATAATCACCCACAGAGCTCTTTGGGTCTTAGGCTAATTTAAGACAGACGCAGTTTACTGTGGGGGTTCAAGAGAGGCTTGCAGAATTCAGAGGCAGGAAGTAGAGTCAAGGTGGTTGAGGGCTAGAGCTGAAAATGGGGGCCTGCAGGAATTAGGGCTGTGCTGATCTGCTCTCTCTGGCACTGTACAGGTCCTCCTTCTCCAAGTGCCCTCCTTGTGGGAGCCTCCAATGGGTCCTGGCCCCACAGTCCTCTAGGACCCTTAGTCCAGCTGGGCACACTGACCGCTCCCATCAGAATTCCCAGCCCATGGAGGATTAGCTTGGGAACCAGGCCTGGTTGCCTTTGGCTCCCAAAGGCAAGGCCAGGCAAGGGGGGGTTCCTCTGGCGGGGCAGGCATTCTATAGAAGCGCTCCCTATATCAGTCATCTGGATGGGCGGGGATATTTTTGATCAGGAAGAAATAAAAATAGGCATTGTTGGCTGGTAATCACTTTTTTGGGTCTTTCCTGCATGTCTTAGATAACTAAACCTTTTGTCCAATCTTTATTCCTTCCTCCCTTCCTTCCTTCTTTCCTTTCTTCCTTTCTTCTCTCCTCTCTCTCTTTCTTTGTTCTCAAGTTGCTCCCAGGGAGAAGGGGAGTAGAGAATGAGTTTCTGACACTTTCATTGGACTTCACTGGTCCTTGGTCAACAAAGCACTGGTCACCATACTGGGAGGAGCCCACACCCAGCACCTGGAAGCACACAGCACCACTGGGAGACCCACAGTCAGTCACACAGGCACACATGAATGCACACATTCACAGGTGCACACAGATGGTCACACACAGAGGCACACTTTCATACTTAGACACACACACACACACAGACACACACACACACACACACACATACAAACACACCTGCCATCCAGGCAGTTGCTTCTGATGAACACTGGTTCTGCCCTTGGCAGGAGTATTAATCATTTATAGCCATGTAACAAAGTTAACTCCAAACTCAGCGACTTAAAACAATTAACAGTTATTATTTCACATAGTTTCTGAGAATCAGAAATTTGAGAGTGAATAATCCTGTGAGATCTTGGCTTTAGGCTTTTCTAAGGGAGGTCTATTTTGGTTTTGCCCTTCGTCCTAGGACATAGCCCTTAACATTGGGCTATATCTTAACCCCTAAGACCTGCACCCCCTGGGATTCCAATGGCAATCTCCAGGTATTTAATAAATTCCTTGGTGAGAATTAAATACCAGACTCTGTTGAACTCTTCACTCAGCTTTTTAGCCTTCCAAATGATGCTTAGAGGAAAGCATCCTGGGAATTGTATGCAGTTAAGGAGTCACTCAAGAATTTAAGGGGAATCTTTATGCAGATTTTGAGGTTTATCCTTATTTGGCTATCCCCAAATTTCTGGATTTTTTTCTCTCAATTTAGAACTATTCTCCAAGCCCTGAAGCTCTGGCCTCTGTATCATCAGCCCATTATCTGTCTGAGATCTATTCCTCTGTGCAAGTTTGTAATCATTACTGGCAAGAGGATTAGTCTGATACAAGCTACCTGTACAGATACTTGGAATAGGTATTTGGGTTCTAACATCAAACAGTAATATAATAAGACATTACCTTAATGTCTTTAGTATGTTTTGGTCTTTAAAATCTTCCAATTTTAAGTGCTTTTTATTTTTTGTTGAGGAATAATTGACATATAATAGTATATTAGTTCCAGGCATATAACATAGTAAGTTGACATTTGTACACACTATGAGCTTTCTACTTTTAAAATGGTATATAGGGGCACCTGAGTGAATCAGTGGGTTAAAGTGTCTGCCTTCGGCTCAGGTCATGATCTCAGGGTCCTGGGATCAAGCCCCACATCGGGCTTTCTGCTCAGTGGGGAGCCTGCTTCCTCCTCTCTCTCTCTGCCTGCCTCTCTGCCTACTTGTGATCTATGTCTGTCAAATAAATAAATAAAATATTTTTTTAAAATGGTGTATATATACTCATATTTCTCTGGAACTCCACATGGCCCTGCTAATCAGCCCTCAGGATTTTCCATGGATGACCCTAAGGAGTCAGAAAGTAACCTAGGACGTCTCTTTATCTAGTAGAGTCTTACACTACCTATTCTCAATTAAATGCCTTTCACAGCTCCAGAATTCTACCTGTACCCTGTCATCCACCTCCTTATTTTAGTCTGGACACATCCATGTAGCTACTGTCTTGTTACTTTTCAGGACTGGTAGGCAGAGATATGGGTGGACAGAGCACTCAATACAGAGTTCCTGGGATTGTACTCATTTACATACACTCACCCAACCAGATCCATGAGACCCACAGTGACATAAATATGTACACAGGGGCATAGACTTACAAATATGCACATACTGATGAGCACTGTGGGTACACACAAACACACTGAGTGACATACAGTGGAACACACACAGTCATACTGGACCCATGATACCCAAACACAAACCAGAACTGTGGAGAGAACACACACACACAAACACACACACACACACACACACACACACACAGGTTTTCAAATTCACCTGCACAAGATACGTACACACTGCCACACACAGATACAAACACACCTAGATCTGTAAGACCCATAGAGACACAAATACATACACAGGTTCGCCTATACACAAGGTGTATACTCGCATATTATCCAGCCCCGTAGCGCAACAGACACTCACCGCTACCTTCACAGATTCACAACCAGGTCTGTGAGATTCAGGTGCACACAGTCCCACAACCACTCAGTTTCCTGCCCTGGGGTTGCTATTGAACGCCGTTCCTGCACTGGGCACAATTTGCTGGTATTAAGTGAGAAACCTGTGGCCAAGCCTAGGTTGGGGGTCAAGGCGGGGGTTTGAAAGTTCCCAGTCTGCATCCCCTCTGCCCCATCACAAACTAGCTCTCAGTAGGAACCTGGTAATGAACTTTCTCCTTGAGTTACTCGCGGGGGTTCAAAGCCTGGCTCCACCTCCTGGCTGTGTGACCTCGGATAAGTGACCCCACCACGCTGTACCCAATTTTCGCTATCTCTGAAACGAAGGTAATAATAGTTACCAAACCCCACTGCACTGTTGTTCATGTTCTGCCAGAAAATACACGTCAAGCACTTTCCAGGCAGGAAATGTGCCTGGCATTGTGGCTGGTGCTCAATAAATATTGGCGTCGTCACTGTGTTAAAGCTAGAGCACTAGGGGATCAGAGGGGAGCCACAGGCCAGACTCTCCTTCCCAAGTTCCTGAAGGTGGACAGCCACCAGCCTGACAACTTGTCTGGAGCTCTCCCTCCTCTGGGGTCCCAGGTGCACGCCCACCACCTCTACGGTCCCTAAGGCCAGAGGCCTGAGTCTTTTCGCAAAGATGAATGTGGGTAGGAGCCCAACCGACTCCACCTGGCGACATGAACGAACTGACAAGATAAATCCCCGTTTCTGAGCACCGCTCTCTCGCACCCTCAATGAGACACAAACACCGCCCCACATAAACTCACACACACTGAGATACAAGCGCCTTTTGCAGCAGTGGTTGCGAAGGAGAGCAGGGCGGAGCCTTGATAACTGTACCGGGAACTACATTTCCCAGAAGGCTCTGCCATGCGTCCGTTTACGTCTGGGCGAAGGGGCGTCTCCGGGACCCCGACCCCCTCTGGAAAATGGAATCCGCGCCGGCGCGACGCAAAGGCTACCGGAAGTTGTAGTTCGCATCCGGTCCGCGCAGACGCACTTTCCCGCGGCGTTCGCCGGGTTTATCCTTTGTGGCAATCGGTCGGCTTTTGTGGGAGGCCGGTCCGCTTGCTCGCGCATCCTTCCGACCGTCCGTCGGTCTGTCCGGTCTCCTCGGGGCCTGTCTGCCGGCCGCCCTGTGCGGCCGCTGGCTCCTGACGGCTGAGTCTGAGGCCGGCCCAGGACTCGGCCCACAGTGTCCCGGGCGGAGTGTGTGACTGGCTGCGTGGGGCGCGGGCTATGGGGCGTGAGCGCAGCCTGGAGTGTGGGGCGCTTGCTGAGCCTGCCTGACCCCGACCGGGGGGGGGGGGAGCCGCGCGCGGCGACCGTGCAGCCGGGAGTGCGTGTGCGACCCCCCGAGGCTCCCCTTCAGGCTGTCCCTGAGCCCCAGGAGCAGGACCGGCGCCTCTGGGCCTGGCCTGGGGCCCAGGAGGCTGCAGAGCTGCCCACGCCTCCGGGGAACGCTGCCGAGGGGCGCCATGGAGACCCCTGCCCCGAAGCCCCAGGAGAGAGGTACAGTTGGCTCTTCTAGTCACTGGGGCTGTGGACTTGCACTTGAGGAGACTGACATTCAGAGAGGTCAGGCTGGTTTCCCAAAAGCACCTAGCCGAGTCAGGCCTCCTGCCTCTTCACCGTGCACATCCGCTTGTTTCCACTGCTCCAGCATGCTGAAGAGGAAGGGAATGGCAGTTTTTCCTTCAGATTGTGCCCGATATTGGGGCTCGCTCCCCACCCCACCTGCGGGGGGGCGGTTCCTGACTGCTCTCTGGTCCAAGCCAGGGGTGGAGTGGGCTTTAGCTCAGGCATGCACCTGGTGGCTATGGGCTATGGCTAATAGCCATTTTGACTCAATTTCTCCTCCCCAGCTCTGTCCTCTCAGGAGCCTGCTCTTACCCTCAGAAAAAATCCAGAGGATAAATTGGGTCAGGGTCTCCCAGAAGCCAGGTCCAAGGTGAGTGGTTGTCTTTTCTTCCTTCTGAACATCTCGTTCTTTATGAAGAGGGTTGGCATTTCGGGATCTTCAGTCATCCAAAGACCCCTTTGCCGCCGCTTCTAATCTGGGGGCCTGCTGTCCCTCAGGAAGTTCTGGGCATGGGAAGAGCTCCAACTGAAGAGAGTCTGGGTGTGCCCTTGAAGTAAGTGTCCCTTCCAGCCTCCTTCAGCCCAGTGGGTGGGTCATTTGCCCAGCACTATAGCAGGAGCTCTGAGGAGTGGTTTTAATGGAACCCAAGCATGTAGGTGACATGCAGACCTAGGGGATGGTCCTCATCTGGGGGAGTTTTCTGGGATGGAATCAGGGGAATGAAAGTGCTGAAGGAAGGCTGTGTTGCAGCACCAGGGTAAGAGCGATGGTAGGGGGTGCGTCCCTGTGTCCTTTTCCTCTGTGCAGTGACCCTGTAATGGGGCTGTCAAGGAAAAACCTGTAATTTTGGAGGATCTGGGAACCCAGCAAGGGAAGTTGGCCCTGGGACCACTTCCGCAGCTAAGTAGAGCCCAAATCCCTCTTTTCACAGACTTTGGGTTTTGATTCTCATTTTGTTTACCACCTAAACCATCCTCATCCCTCGACAGTATTTAAAAGGATACAGATGATAAGAGGAGATTGCAGTAATGAAAAAGTCTGGAGGGTTGAGGGTCCTTTGACTCAGGATTTAGTGATTCTGTTTACGGCCCATTGAAAGGGGTCTGATTATAGAAAAATAGAAATAACTATAAAACACATTATGAGATATGGCTGGTTTCTGTAATGTGTTAGAATGCTCTGTTCTGGCATACACTCAGGAGACATGACAGTTAGATGTGGTACATGATCTTTGACAGGCCATAGATCAAAAAACTCAAAGGCAGTTTGGGACAACTGAGGAAACTTGAAAATGGATTTATCTTAGATCATCACTAAATATTTTGGGTGTGATGATCCCACTGTAATTGGGTAAAAGAATAAGATAGTCAAGGTGAAGCCCATAGTGTGAGATGTCATGATATCTGCAACTTACCTTCAAATGGTTCAGCAAAAAGTGCATGTGCATGTCTGTGCATGTGCTTGTGAGTGACTGCCTCAAGGTATTACCCTTTTTGTGCATAGGTGTTATTCCTAAAAGATCAGCTTCCTAGAACCTTGAGTAACTGGTCCTCCTCTCCTAAGTACTCTTCTCCCCTGGCAGTCCCACTCAGACTCACAGTTAAGTGTTTTGCTTTCCTGGGACATCCCACGCAATCTGTTCTGACTTCCCCACTAGTTTTATTTAATTATTTATTTTTAAAGATTTTATTTATTTATTCGACAGAGGGAGAGAGATCACAAGTAGGCAGAGAGGGTTGGGGGGAAGCAGGCTCCCTGCTGAGCAGAGAGCCCCATGCGGGGCTCAATCCCAGGACCCTGAGACCATGTGACGTGAGCCAAAGGCAGAGGCTTAACCCACTGAGCCACCCAGGCACCCCTTCCCCACTAGTTTTATTGCCACAGATCTGCATTTGATTCCCATACCTACCTGCCCCCTGGGATTTCTTTCTTGTCCTACAGAATGGAGATGCACGGGACATGGGCTTCTCCCGGGGGAATAACCCCCAGACAGGTCAGTGCAAGGCTTAGATCCTACCCTGCCCTTGCCAGTTGACACCCCCACACAGAAGCCATGTAGCCTCTGATAGCCCCCTTTCTCCAGTCACATTCTGACACCTCTGGAGCTTTGTTTCTGCCCATGTTTTTCCTTTCCTCTGCCAATGCCATGACCATGATGCTTCATTCTTGCCTGCGTCAGTTATGGCATGTTCTCAGCATGTGTCATCACCCCCACCTTCTCATCTCCCTGAAATCCAGTGGGTTTTTTGGATCACATTTATTGAGGTGTAATTTGTATACAGTAAAGTTCTCTGATTTTAAGTAGAGGATTTGATGAGTTTTGACAAATGCGTACAGTTGTGTAACCAGCACCACAATCATAACCTAGAATGTTTCCATCACCCAAAAAGTTCCCTCATGCCCCTTGGGAGTCAGCCCTCTCCCCCCACTCCTTGGCAACCACAATTTTGCCTTTTTAAGAATTTCTTATGGAAATATATAGTATGTAGTCTTTGGTTTCTTTTTTTAAAGATTTTATGTTTAAGTAATCTCTACACCCAATGTGGGGCTCGAACCACAACCCAGAGATCAAGAGTCACTTGCTCTACTAACTGAACCAGCCAGGTGCCCCACATAGTGTAATGCTTTTGAGTTCATGTCTTTATGTGAATCAGTAGTTTGTTCCTTTTTATTGGTGAGTAGTATACTACTTGTATTAAGTTCACAAAGGCTGCCTTGCCAAAGTCCTATAGATGGCGTAAACAACAGAAATTTATTGTCTGGAAGTTCAATATCAAGATGTCAGCAGGTTTGGTTTCTTCTGAGTCCTCTCTTCTTGGTTTGTGAAAGTACCTTCTCCCAGTGTCTTCACATGCATGGACTTTCTCTGTACATGTCTGGCTCCAAATTTCCTTTTTCTTAATAAGGACATCAGTCCTGTTGGTTGATGGCTCATCATAATGACCTCATTTTACCTTAATTATCTCTTTAAAGACCCTATCTCCAAGTATAGTCATTTTTCTGAGGTCCTGTGGGCTAGGGCTTCAGCATATGAATTTGGAGGGGTGACAGCTCAGCACAAAACACCACTGTAAATGGGTATTTACAGTTTGTTCATTAGGGGACATTAGGTTGTTTCCAAGTTTTGGCTATTACAAGTAAACCTGATATAAATGTTTGAGTACAAGGATAGACATGTGTTTTAATTTCTCTTGAATGAATATCTAAGTGGAATTGCTGAGTCAAATAGTAAATGTATATTTAATTGGCGATTTTATTGATCATTTCCAATAGCCATCTTTTGGTTTCATTGATTTTCTCTATTGCTTTTCTATTCGTATTTCATTTATTTCAGATCCTTATTATTTCTTTACTTTTTTTGGTTTCTTAAAGTTGAAACTCAGATTCTGATCTTGATCTCAGATTTGTCTAAAGACACCTTTCTTCTTTTTTTATGTAGCATCCAGTGCTATAAATTTTCCTTCTAAGCACTGCCTTCTACATCCCACAAATTTTGTATTGTATTTTCATTTTTATTCAGTTCAAAATAGTTCCAGTTTCTGTTGTGATTTCTTCTTCAACCATGTATGTTTTAGGAATGTGTTGTTTAATTTCCAGATATTTGGGGGATATTTTCTAGGTATCTTTCTATTACAGATTTCTAACTTAATTCTGTTGTAGGTAGAAAAGGAATGTTCTATGATTTGAATTTTTTCAAATCTGCTAAGATTTATTTTATTGCCCAGAATGTGGTTTATTTTTGAATGTTCTGTATGCACTTGAAAAGAATGTACCTTCTGCTTTTGTCAGCTAGAGTGTTCTGCAAATGTCAATTAAGTCAAGTTGAATGATGTGTTAATTGTTCTGTAACCTTACATATTTTCTGCTTATGTGTTGTATCAATTATTGAGAGAAATTACTGTTGAAATTACCAAGTATAATCATGGGTTTGTCTATTTCTCTTCAGTTCTATCAAGTTTTTGCTTTATGTATCTTGAAGCTCTGTTAGTAAGAACATCTATATTTAAGAGTGTTGTGAGCTCTTAATGAATTGCTGTTGTGATAATGACCGTGACATAACCATGTAATGATTATTATATAACAGCTTTTTTTGTCTCTGATGATGTCCTTTGCTTTGAAATCTGTTTTGTCTAATGTTAATACTGCCACTTCAGCTTTCTTTTGATTAGTATTTGCAGAGTATATCTTTTCCCATTCTCCCACTTCTTATCTACCTTTTTCTTTGTTTTAAAAGAGATTTCTGGGATGCCTGGGTGGCTCAGTTGGTTAGGAATCTTCCTTTGGCTCAGGTCGTGATCCCAGGATCCTGGGATTGAGTTCCACATCGCGCTACTTGCTCGGCGGGGAGCCTGCTTCTCCCTCTGCCTTCTCCACCCGCTTCCCTCCCTGCTTGTACTCTCTTTCTGACAAATAAATAAGTAAAATCCTAAAATGTTAATTTAAAGTAGTTTTCTGTACCTGATGCATGGTTGGGTGTTAATTCTTAAATTCAATTTGACGATCTCTAATTTCCAATTGGATTATTAAGACCATTCACATTTAATATAATTACTGATATGGCTGGATTTACATCTGCAATTTTGTTATTGATTTTCTATACGTCTTGTGTCTCTTTTGTTCATTTCTCCCTTAATGCATTCTTTTGAGGTAAACAAATACTATTTTTTTTAAAGATTTTGTTTATTTATTTGACAGAGATCTGTCAGAGAGGCAGGCAGGGGGGCGGGGAAGCAGGCCTCCCGCTGAGCAGAGAGCCTGATGTGGGGCTCCATCCCAGCACCCTGGGATCACGACCTGAGCTGAAGGCAGAGTCTTTAACCCACTGAGCAACCCAGGCGCCCCCACAAATACTATTTTAGTATACTCTTAATTTCTCTGATTTTATTGTTTTTTTCTTTTTAGTTACTTTATTAGATGCTGGAGTGAATTTTACTTTGTTGAGTATTGGCTTTTTGGGAGTTTCTTAAATATTTCAGGAATTTGTTCTGGGATGCAGTGAAATTACTTAGTATCAGATGGATCCTTTCAAGGCTTGCTCTGTAGGTTTTGTTCAGGTAGGGCCAGAGGGGCCACCTGAGTCGCTCAGTTGGTTAAGCATCTGCCTTCAACTCAGGTCATGATCCCAGGGTCCTTGGATTGAGCCCCACATTGGGCTCTCTGCTCATGGGGAGCCTGCTTCTCCTTCTACCTGCTGCTCCCCCTGCTTGTGCTCTCTCTCTCTCTCTGTGTCAAATAAAATCTTTTTAAAAAGGTGGAGCCAGAGAAATCTTTAGTCTTGGGCTAATTTTGTCAGATCACTGATGCTCTCCTTTCCTGGGGACTTTACTCAGTGCCCATATAGCAGGAGGACGTTCTCTCTGGCTGGTCAG